ACTCAGACCCAAAAGGGGAAGGCGGGCAAGGAACAGCAATAAAGGATGGGGTTTGCTGTTCGGAGGGACGCTTGGGGAGGCAGTGATGGTGGGACCAGATAAAAGGGGACCTAAGGCTTCCAGAGACAGTGATAGTCAAGTGGGAGTCAGAGGTGATGCGGAAGGCCCAGGCCAGGCGAGGGAGCGTGCTCCTTGTTGTGGGGCAGCACATTGCAGAGGCTCGGAGATAAAGCTGCCTTTTTTTTTTTTTTTTTTTAACCATAGGGTATATGTGCTCGCTGGAGAGAGGCAGAGAAAGTGAGAAATCACTGCTCGAGGGGATGACTATGCCACAGTCCCTTTCTCTCCAGTCTCCTCTCAGAGTTTTGGGCACACATGCGTACACCACCCAGTGGGATTTTCAACCCACTGGGTCCCGGAATCAAACTGCAGTTGGCCATGTGAGAGTCCAGTGCCTAACCACTATGCCACTTACAGGCCCCGATGAGGTATCTTCTGAGTTAGTATGGCTAGCTGGGAAAACTAGAACAGGTGAGAGTGATGAGGGGCCAGAGGGACAGGTGGAGCCAGGACGCTGCAGAGCTTGGCAGCCATATTAAGGAGCTTGGGGCTTTGGTAAGAAGAGAAAAGTCTCTGGGAAGCGTGAACTTTGGAAGTTAGTGAACTCCCTTGGCTGTATGTGAAAACTAGCCTAGGGCCAGCCCCATAGCCTGGTGGGTAAGGGAAGCTAGATCCCACGTGGCCAACGGGAGGGACATTCACGTTCCAGCCCTGGCGGTTTGAGAAACACACAGAGTGCGTGCACATGCATGTCCAGAGTCTCCACAGGATGGAGAAATGGAGAAGGGATGATGTACTACGTCCCGTTGAGGTGCTTTCTCTCCTGTCCCTCCCACCCCCATCCCCATCTTCGGCAGATGTGTAGTAAAATGGTAGGACTAGTCTAGGCTGACTGCACCATTTGGGCCGTTGTTGAGATGTAGGCCAACTGAGGGTGGGCTGGAGAAGGCAGTAGCAGCAGGTGAGCGTCTTTGGTCCAGGGTAGTTGGCAGGAGCAGACAGAGCGTTAGCCGTGGAGGCTGAGGCCAGGGGAAGGTGTGAGGCTTGCTCTTAGAGGCCCGCTTGCCATTAGCCTCCAGGAACATGGGGCCGCCAGTGAGATGAGCAGAGAGGAGCAGCAGATGTGTGGTTAAGATGCGTTCCAATCTGGACAGTGTGAGGTTGTGGTGCCCCAGGGACATCCAAGAGGCCTCGCCCAGCAGCTCCACTGAGGTGGATTTGGCTGGAGGTGGAAGTTTGGGAGGAGTCTCCACTCTTTGGCCAGCAGTGGCAGTTCTGGAAGTGAATGAGGTCACTCGTGGAGAGTGCAGAGGCTCAGTGTCCCATTTCTGAGCAATGAGTGTGGGCCCTAACGTGGATGAGCTGTCATTTGTGTTATCTCGCTGCAGCCACTGATAGGTGCCTGTTCTGGAGAGAGTCCTCGGAGAAGAGAGCAGTAGGCTTCGGTCCATGACACCGACCGTCATGGCAGGGAGTGCCCAGCCCCAGGCAGTCTGGGGCTCCACTGTGACCAGGCAGATGCTCTTGGAGGAGCTACTCCTCCCCTGCCTGGACCAGCATTTCCCCCGGGGTCTCCATTCAGGTGACTTAGAATGGCAGCTAGCGCTTCAGGGTGGGTGGCCAGAGGAGGGGAGAGTCAGCGCCTTAAGTTCATGGGGACCAGAGGCAAAACCGTGAGTCCAGGCCTGGTCCGTGTGCATCCTGTGTTGGGTGTGTCGAAAGTCCAGAGGGGCCAAGAGAGCAGGTCTGTGACCGTCACACCCCGCCCTCCCAGATGGTGGCTGATATGCGGGAGAAGCGCTATGTGCAGGAGGGCATTGGCAGCAGCTACCTGTTCCGGGTGGACCACGACACCATCATCGATGCTACCAAATGTGGCAACCTGGCAAGGTTCATCAACCACTGCTGCACGGTACGCTGAGAGCCAGGCCAGGTGGGGGTGGGGGGTCCCAGGGCTGCGCCCAGGCTCATGCCACCCTCCCGTCCTGCAGCCCAACTGCTACGCCAAGGTGATCACCATCGAGTCACAGAAGAAGATCGTGATCTACTCCAAGCAGCCCATCGGTGTGGACGAGGAGATCACCTATGACTACAAGTTCCCACTGGAGGACAACAAGATCCCATGCCTGTGCGGCACCGAGAGCTGCCGGGGCTCCCTCAACTGAGGCGGGGCAGGACTGGTGCCCACTCTATTTATTCCCCCTTGGTGCCCTGAGCTCCCAGCACCCCCAGCCTTAGTGGGCTCAGCAGGGCCCACATGCCCCCATCTCCAGGTATGGGGTTCGGGGGCCCCGAGCCCAGCAAGGGAGCCTCAGTCCCTTGAGGCAGCTCCTGCCTCCCCATCTCCCCTGCCCACCTGCCCCTTAATTTTTTTTCTTTGCGGAGAAGAAGCTGTAAATGTTTTGTAGCTGCCAGCAGCTGTTTCCTGTGGAAACCTGGGGTGCCGGCCTGTACAGATCCTGTTCTTGGGGGGCTGCACAGCCCTCTTGCTTTGTGTTAATGGGGACTGCCCCTTGTGCCCTGCGTGCACCCCTCCCCAGTTTAGGGGTCTCTTGGGGCAGTGGCCATGTTCTCCCCCCGGGGGGGGCCCTGTGCCCCCATTCCTGGGGACTCCGTGCCTGGAACCCTGCCTCGTCTTCTGTTCCTGCCAGACCCTGTGGGTCACCCTCCCACCCTGGTATCTGGAGGCTCCAGCCCAGCCAGGCCAGGATGGTGGGGGTGGGCCCTTCCTGTTGGGCTGGACTGTACATATGTTAATAGCGCAAACCCAACGCCACATTTTTATAATTGTGATTAAACTTTATTGTACAAAAGCGCTTGTCAGTATCTTTGGGGAAGAGCAGGGTGTGGGGCTCGAGGACACACAGGGTGGGGCAAGACGAAGACGACCGAAAAATGGGTGGCCTGAGCTTGGGGTGGGTGGAGGGCCTTTCTGTAAAGAGCCCAGACCTGCAGACCCAGCTGCCATCGCTTTGGAGCATCTGATAGGCCACAGCTGCAGTGCCAGAAACCCCCACCAGTGCCCGCCAGGCCTCCCTTCCCTCCCCAGAACATCTGCTGCTGGGACCAGAAGGAGGGAAGTACAGGTCATGCATTGGGAAGGTCACTGCCAGCTCCGTCCTGAGCCCCCAAACCCCTCAGCACCCACCAAACATGTCTAGCTTCCCTAAGTTCTTTGCTGGAACCAGATGCCAGTGGAACCGAGTGGCCGCCAGGGGGCACTGTAGCAAGCACGGGGAGGGAGGGGGGTTGGGTGGTAGAGGCTGGGCTGGTCTCTTTTTCCTGGAATGGCCAGGAGGGAGGAGGAGGAGGAGCAAACGGAAGGACGGGAGGGTGAGTTACTGGCCCGTCAGCCCCGGTAAAAGAAGACAGGCCCTCCGGTGGCCAGTTTGGGCTCCTGGGGACAGTGACGGCAGGTAGGCAGATGTGAGGCCAGAGCCCAGGCAGCCCTTCCCACCTTCGTGTACCCTTCCTACCCCTCTTCAACTCCCTGCCTTCCCGCCCTCCTTTTTTTGTCCCCAAATCTCTTCCCCATCCACCCCAAACCCTGACCCCTTCCTGCTATCCCAAGCCTTTATTCCCCTTGGAAACTCAGTAATTGGTGGGGCTAGGGGACAGGTGGCCTGGCCGCTATGCTCACAGTTGCAGCCTCCAGGAACAGATCTGCCCCCTGGCCCCCAGCCCTGTCACTGCGCGCCAGTGGCCAGCAGACCCTTCTGAGAGTAACAGGTGACTGGGGCAGGTGGCAGCTGGCAACTCAAGTGAATCAAGGTCTCTTCCCTCAGCTGGACATGGCAGGCTCTGAGCAGGCCCAGAAGCTGGTGTACCTGGTCACAGGTGGCTGTGGCTTCCTGGGGGAGCATGTAGTGCGGATGCTGCTGCAGCACGAGCCCCGGCTCCGGGAGCTGCGGGTCTTTGACCTACACCTGGGGCCCTGGCTGGAGGAGCTGAAGACAGGTGACTGCACGGGGCGGGGGTGGGAGGGTGTGGACTGCCTGCCTCATCCTGGCCACGCCAGGATCCCCAGCCCTGTGGCGGAAAAGATGATGCCTGTTTACTTTCCAAACCCACATGGATGGGATGAATGAGTCACATTGGGAACATGTGGCTCCCAAGGGTGTAGACTGAGCCATCCAGCTGGCCGATGGCCTCAGCTGACATCGCCACTGCCCTACCTCGTCCCACAGCAGGGCCTGTGCAGGTGACTGCCATCCAGGGGGATGTGACCCAGGCTCACGAGGTGGCAGCAGCTGTGGCTGGAGCCCACGTGGTCATCCACACAGCTGGGCTTGTGGACGTGTTTGGGAGGACCAGCCCTGAGACCATCCACAAGGTCAATGTGCAGGGTGAGATCTCCCCACCCGTTCCAACTGTGCACCAACCTCCCTGGCACGTGGCCTGCATTTGCCTGTTAATTCCCCCCTCCTCTCTGACCTTGACCTTCTGTGACTGTCCTGTGCCAACCTATCCTGTCAACAGTCCTGCCCCCACATGATTATTCACCCCAGCCTCTACTGACCTGTTGTGGTTTTCTCTGGACCTGGGAGGAAGCCAGGTGCCCTCATCCTGACTTGGGATGGAGAGGAGGTGAGACGAAGCCTCAGCCTAGATAGTCTCCTTCCTCCCCAGGCACACAGAACGTGATTGAGGCTTGTGTGCAGACTGGAACACGGTTCCTGGTCTACACGAGCAGCATGGAAGTTGTGGGGCCTAACATCAAAGGCCACCCCTTCTACAGGTGAGCTGAGGTTCCCCCAAGACTCGAAGAGCCCCATCGACCCTCATGATTGACTCTTCCTTCTCCCTGGCCAGAGGCAATGAGGACACCCCATATGAAGCAGTACACAAGCACCCCTACCCTTGTAGCAAGGCCCTAGCCGAGCAGCTGGTCCTGGAGGCCAACGGAAGGAAGGTGAGACTAGCAAAATGAGGCTCGGAGGGGAGGCTTGGGTGGGCCCGCCAACCTTCTGCACATCCTGCCCTGGGCACCTCCCTTCTGTCTCCAGCCTGAGGCGGCCAGAGCTGGATCCTCGTTCTTAGCAGTACCTGCCTTTGCCACCAGGTCTGCGGGGGACTGCCCCTGGTAACATGTGCCCTGCGTCCCACGGGCATCTACGGTGAAGGCCACCAGATCATGAGGGACTTCTACCGCCAGGGCCTGCGCATGGGGGGCCGGCTTTTCCGGGCCATTCCGGCTTCTGTGGAGCACGGCCGGGTCTATGTGGGTAAGGAGCAGATAGGCAGAGGGAGGCTAAAAACAGGGGAGGAGAACCTGCTCTAGAAGTGGTGGGACCCACATGGTTCTGGGAGGGGCAGTGTGGACCCTAGCTAGTCTGCACACAGGATAAGGTAGTCTATGATTATGTGGGTTTTATCTGCACGAGCCACAGAGGAAACCGTATCCACGCAGGTTGGGAAGTGTGTCATAGCCAAGGAGAGGATGCAGCTGGGAGAGCAGCACCTCCACAGGATGGAAAGTGGTGTCTATGCTGGCCCCGGAGACCACAGGGGCTAGGGAAAAGCAGACTTTGTCAGGCTGCAGTGACAAGGGCAGCATCTACATGGGCCCCAAGAAGGGGTGGCTGGAATGTGGGCTGGCCCAGGAGAGCAGCATCTACATGGTCACTCAGGAGCATGTCCACTTCTCGCGCCCCTGCAGGCAACGTGGCCTGGATGCACGTGCTGGTGGCCCGGGAACTGGAGCGGCGGGCAGCACTGATGGGCGGCCAGGTGTACTTCTGCTATGACCATTCACCCTATAAAAGCTACGAGGACTTCAACATGGAGTTCCTGGGTCCCTGCGGCCTGCAGCTGCTGGGCACCCGCCCATTGTTGCCCTACTGGCTGCTGGTGCTTCTGGCTGCGCTCAATGCCCTGCTGCAGTGGCTGCTGCGGCCGCGGCTGCTCTCCGCGCCCATGCTCAACCCCTACACGCTGGCTGTGGCCAACACCACCTTCACTGTCAGCACGGATAAGGCGCAGCGCCATTTTGGCTACAAGCCTCTGTTCTCCTGGGAGGAGAGCCGGACCCGCACCATTCTCTGGGTGCAGACCACGGAAGGTTCAGCTCGGTGATGGTGAGGCTGAGCCTGGAGGCCCGTCATGGCGCGTCCCTCCAGGCCCTGTGCCCTCACACCCCGGGTGGGGCTACAGACAGGGTGTTGGGAGTCAGGCTGGCTGACCCGGAGCCCGCCACAATCGCAAGCCTTGAGCCCGTGTTGCCGCCTGATGCTTCCAAGCACTGGGGCAGGTTTGGGGCAGGAGCTGCGCCACTCTGCCCAGGCCCAGCGGCTGGTTGACCAGGGTCCGACGCCCTGACGTTCTCAGCTGCCCCGTCCTGCTTCTGGCTTTCTGGGCAGGACATGGACAGGGGTTTCTCAGGCTCACATGGGTCTTCTGACATCAGGCTGAATCTTCAGGCCTAGGCTCAGTGAGGAGGCTCCTCGGGTTCCTCCTACCTTCTCCCTCCTTGGGGATTATATTCTCGTCATTTTAAAACATGCACCAGCTTTAGACATTGGTGTTTTAATTCCTCTCAAGGAAAGCTGAGGGAAGCAGTGCATTTTCACTTCTCACCCGACCCGAATTCAGTTCCTGCAATACTGTCAGCTCTGGGCCTGAGAGTGCCCCGTACCGCTGGATCTGGACAAGCCCTGGATTAAAACCCTCATCCAAGCCTGTGTCCGTCTGTCTGTCCAGCTCTCCCGCCAGCCCCCATCAGTGTCTCCGCTCCCCACGGCGCCGCCCCTCATGGGGACAGAAGGAAGTGAGCACACGGCACGCCCGCTGTTGGATTGGTTGCTATTTCTCCCGTCCCATGGGGCCCGGCCCGGCCCAGGGTGGGGTGGGGGGCTCTGGGGACAGGACATGCAGGGCTGGGGGATGGGCAGAATTTTCCTGTTTTATCCATTTGCAACTTGGTCACCAATAGAGAGAAATGGGACTCTGAGGGCTAACAGGAGAGGGTGGCCTGGCTCTGGGCCCCCAGCCAGGTCCCAGGAGTCCTGTCCCCTCTCAGGAGGGGAGGGAGAGAGCTCTAGAAACCAACGGAGAAACAGAGAAGGGGGCAGGGGCTCATGTCAGCAAACACAGCTACATCACGTGACACGCCAGCGACACAGAAACACGCCAACGCACACGGCTGCACAGCGGGCAGGGGGTAGGGGGGGAGAAGGGAGCCAAGGGCCACCCATCTTGTCCTCTGTGGGGTGGGCCGGGGGCAGGGCAAATGCATAGAACACATCATGTGTACACGCTCAAGGCGTGGCGAGAGCGTGTGTCGACCCACGGGCACATGGATGGACACGCGGTGTGCTTCGTGAGAGGTGGGGATAGGGAGAAAGGGGAAAGGGGAGCATCGAGTCCTGGTGGGGCCCGGGACCACCCGCAGGGCATCTGGGCTTGACTGCTGCAGGTGCGTGGAGCTCAGGCAGCACACACTTATCCAAGAACATGCAGAAAACACCCAGCCCCCGGACGGCACTCCAGGACACACGTAGAGACAGCCGCCAACAAGCAAACACGTGATATGTGGGACTTGGGGGATGAACAGGCCCTCGGGCTCCCCTGACCACCGGAGGCCCAGAGAGAGGCCTAATGCCACTCAGAAGGCCAGGAGCAGCACTCCAGCCATGGCTCCACCCTCTGCCTTGTGGCCCCAAGGCCATGGAACTTCCGGAAACACCTGGGCTGGAAGGGGTCCTGGCTGGGCCGCAGGAAGGAAGAAAGGGGCTGGATGCCGGGCCCTGCTCTGATGTTGCCAAAGAAGCCCAAGATGGGAGTAGGAGGACTGTGGTCAACTTCCGGGCAGACTTCCTGTCCTGCAGAAGGGCATTCTGGGAATGGACAGGCAGGCTCCCCTCCTCAGGACAGCCGACCTGGGGGTTACACACACGTGGCCACACTGACACACACACAGGCCAGGATGGGCAGAGCCCAAACAGCCAGGTGGGAAGGGGATGGCTGTCTGAGCTGGGATGGAGGTGGGAGCGGTGTTGTTCCAGGAATTCTCACACACACGCACTCTGCAAGCAGTGGGACCCCGAGGTCCGCACATACGCCGGAGTCGTCACCTGTGCACATGGATGCCCAGCCCTGGGCAGGGCATTGCCATCTACCTGCGTGTCCAACTTACACGCTCCCACTCTGGGGCGGCTGCAACATCGTCCTTTTCCCACGTCCCTGCCACCTGCCACACAAGCCCACAAACTGTGCCGAGTCTGTCTACACAACGAGGGAGGAAACCTTTCCTGACCATCAGAAAGCCAGGCCGGTGTCCCACCCGTCTCGCCCTGGCATGCAGAGCAGCCGCTGCTGACATTTCGACAGGTGTCCAGGGGATGGGGCCCAGGCCTCACCTGCCTGAGCTGCTGCCACCACCCTGGCCACTCCTGCAGGTCTGAAATACAGTTCCCTAAACCCGAGTTCCCTGAGGCAGAGCCTGAGCACCACGTGGGGGCGAACACTGGTCTCCTCTGGGTCCAAGGCGGGTGTGTGGGGGCAGGAAGGGGCGATGCTCGGATTTCTAGTCTACCTGGGCAGCCAACAGCTCACCTGACCAGGCACATTCCTACTAACAGCCCTTCCAGGGGGCCTTGGCGCACGGCACAGGCCTGTGGGACACCACGCAAAGTAGGTGCTCCACGCGCATGTGTGTGGCGGCGTGGCCCCCATCGGACTGCCTCGGCCTTGACATACGTGTGCACACTGAGGTGTGCCAGCTTGCACAGGCTCAGGCAGAGACACACAGAAAGACAAGGTCTCGCATGTGTGCACAGGGCCCCGAAGGCCGGCAGGGCAGGAAGTTCCAATTGCACAACGCTGACGTAGCAGTGTGTGTGGCCGGGCCAGGTACTGGCCGGCAACATGGCGGGGGGCAAATAAATCAGGATAAACGAACCCTAGTGGGGTGCATGTCACATGTCCTTAGATAAACACACATGTATATAGCACACACGTGTGTATAACACAGGGGGCAGAAACGCACTGTGCAGAAAGTCCCCCCACACACACACACACAGCTGTATTCTAGGTAGCAGGGAAATACAGATTTCTGTGCCCACTCAAAACAGGTGCCCAGTCCACGGCATGGAGGGCTCCATCTGAGACCTAACACTCAGGCACACCCTACACACCCACACACACACGTGTGCATCCCTCACATCCCTTTTTGGGGAATGTGCACATGTAGTACACTACAGACCGAGATAGGTCCTTTACACATCCACCCATCCACCGTGGTCCACCCCACAGACACACAACACACACATACACACACATACACACGCACACGCATGCACACCCTCCCCAGCACACACAGCAGCCCCTGGGAGAGTAAGCCAAGAGAGTCTGTCCCATGTCATGTGGCTGTCTGCTGTGGCCTGTGGCGTCTGGGCCTGCCTGTCCTCTGAGATGTGTGAGCGCCCATGCACACCCCCACCACTGGAGCAGATGCAAGGAGTGTGCGGAGGAGCTGCTGTTGCATTAGGTTCGAACACTCACACACAAAATCCCACATACATGAATGGTGTCCACAGATCTGTGATCTCTCTCTCTCTCACACACAGACACACACACACACACACACACACACACTATTCGCAGGAGACAGGGTGAGGCACACTGGGCTGCTGTGTTGTACTCGGCCACGGTCTACACAGCCACCCAGGGGAAGGCGGAAGCTCCGACCACATACAGACTCAGAGGTGGGGAGAGGGGGATGGTGCGACTACACACATCTGCACTGTACACACACGCAGGGGTCCACACGTCTCGAGCATGTGCCGGCGGCATGCATGTTGGTGTGCATGTGTAATCACGCCTGCTGCTATCTACGTGCGGGGGCGGGGGTGGTCCATGGCAGGGAGAGGTCCAGGGACTCCAGGGTCTGCCGTGGGGGTGAAGGAGAGGGCAGGGCTGCCTGGATCTGTTTCGGGGGTGAGCCTGGAGCAGGGGATGGAGTGAAAGAGGTGGTGGGGGTATTGCTCCCGATGTGGTGGGGGAGGGGTCTGGGAGAGAGAAGGGTGGGGGGCCTACAAGCCCAGCGTCCCCCCAATGGATGACGCCAAGACCACCCCCAGCACCACACAGCAAATGATGATCATGATTTTCTTCTGCAGGCAGAAAGAGGAGCGAGCCCGAGAAACAGGGACAGAGCGAGGAAGAGAAAGAGACAAACCGACAGACAGACAGTTGGGGAAAGACAGGGAGAGTGTGAGGAAAGAGGGGAGAGAAAACAGAAATAGGCAGAGGTCAGAGCAGAGATAAGGCCTCTCACCCAATTGCATCACTGGCTTCAGCCCTGACCGGAGCCCCGCCCCGCCCGCGAGGCCTCCGCCCACCTGCCCCTGCCAGCCGCCCGCCCTGGCTCACCCTCCGGGCCTTGCTCTGATATTTCACAGCTTTCTTGGTGTCGGACACAGCCCGCTCCACATAGTCCACGGAATGTTCCACGTTGTACTCAATGCGGTCGATCATCTCGCCCTGCGGACAGAGGAGCCGTGCAAGGGGTGGGGCGGGGGCTGGGCCAGAGAGGAACCTGGGGGCGGGCCGGTCCCTACCTGGCTCTCCACGAGCATGGCCATGTCCACAAACATGTCGTGCAGCTCGCGGATGCTGGTTTCCAGCTTGATGATCTCGTTGTGCCTCGTCTCGATTTCGTTCAGGGCCTGCTTCGTCATCTGCGAGTCCATTTTGATCTAGGACGGTGGGGGAAGGGAAGAGCTATGACCGGCCTTTATCCGTGTTGAGCTCTGACTGCAGCCACAGTGGGTTCAAATCCGGGTATCCTTTACTAGTGTAACCTTGGGCAAATGATTTAACCTCTCCTGGCCTCGGTTTCCCCACTTAGAAACTGGGAGTCATGGGACCAGCAGATGGCGTCATGGTTATGTGTCTGGACTCCCACTGGAGGGTTCGAGTCCAGGCCAGGCAGCTAGAAACTCCTGCTGGGCGTCTGTGCCTGCGTGCCCAGGGTCCTGAGAGGATAGCAGAAGAGAGGGGATTGTGGCCTGGCCATCCCCCCGGGGGGTGATTTCTCCTCTCTGTCTCTCTGTCTTTCCAGCAAGCACATGCACCCTGTAGCAGAAGTCTCTCTCTCAAAAAAAAAAAAAAAAAAGGAAAAAAGAAAAGAAACTGAGAGTCACAGGTCACCGTGAAAACTGAGCGAGCTAAGAGTACCTGGCAGGCATGCAGTAAGCACTAGAGAGAAGTCAGTTACACTGCAAAGAACTGGAACCTGCCTGGGGCCCACCTTCTCGCCCCAGGGCTTCCTGTTTCACACCAGGGAAGCTCAGAGGAGGGGGAGAAGAGGGATGGTCAAAGGCAGCCGGGGTGAGGAAGAGGACACAGCAGATGCCAGAGCAGCAAGCAGAGGAGACCCATGACAAGGCAGTGTGCCCACAAGTTGCCTGGGGCAGATGTGGGGGATCACAGTAAGGAAATGCACTGCAGCCCTCAGGGTCAGTGGGGGAAGCTCACCAGCCCACAGTCTGACATACCTGGCCTGAGGCAGGCCAGTCAATGCTCAGACCACATCGGCCACACCTCTGCTCCAAAGTCCACCAGGGCTCCCTACTACCCCAGGCTACATGCCTTCACTGGGCAGTCAAGGCCCAGGCTCCCTCTCTGCCCGTATTTCTGGCTCATCCTATTAGAGTCCAAGTCATCCAACAGCTGTTTGGCAAGTAGTCCACTCTCCTGGTCTTTGCTCAGTCTTTCTTTTGCCTAAGGTGACCTTCACCCACCTTTCCATGTCTAAAAGCTCAAGGTGCAGCCCAGAGACACCTCCCCCAGAAAGTCTTCTCTGACTGCAGCATTCATCGCTGTCAACCACCACCTCAGGGACCATCCGCAGCTCACACAGCCTTTAGTCAAGGTCCCAACTCTTCCTCATTGTAATCATGGGTTTCCATTTTAATGATAGTGGGCAGATGGTAGAGGCCAGCGATTGTCCATTGAACTGGCTCCCTTGGTACTGCCCACCAAGTTTCCCCCCATTCTCACTGGGCAGAGTTGTTGGGGGTGGGTGGGGACTCCAAGCGAAATGGCCCACAATAAGTTTGCTCAAAGCTAATTCAACGAAGTTCAATTATTCAAATGAACCACCTGCTGAAAACTGCTAGACAATGCCAGTGCATAATTTAAACCAGATCTAGAACCCTTAACCTAGAGCCCTGATGCCACCAGAAGCAGAAATGGAGACAGAACTGGGCAGGCCAGTACAAAAGTCCATGCAGAGAAAGAAGAACTACAGCGAGGGAAAACCCACCCGTTCGCACAGAAGATGACAAGGGCAGGACGCTGCGCAAAACTGAAACTTAAACATGCAGAATCTCTCAGCGCTGAAGAGTTCTGATTCTGAAACTAGACCCTGGATTCGAATCCTGGCTCTGCTCCCAGGCCTGACTGAGACCATGGCCAAGTTATTTCATTCTTCTGGGCCATTCGTTCTCCTCTGTTAAATGGGGCTCCCTGGGAGCATTGTGGTGAGGAATAAATGACTCAGTAGGTGAATGAACATGCGTAAGGGCTCAGAACAGTGCCTGGGCTCGACCGTTGGCCATTTCTATGAAGGTGTCTCCTGGCCCTGCCCCCCCCCAATGGAATTCCCCGGTTCCCGGTCCAGGCTTCCTGCCACTTGTTCTTCCAGGGAGGACTTGGGCCCTTCGACCTGTGCTTGGGGAGGAGAGGCAAGTGCTTTCCAAACAGAGCGCGCCCCCAGGGGCTCACATCGTCAGTGAAGATGGCCAGCTTCCCGCTCTCCAACATGTCTTCCAGTTCTTCATTGGTTGTGGTCCTTCCGGCTGTGGGGAGAAAGAACTCCTCACTCAAAAACTGGGCCAGGCCGGGGTGGGCGAGGCGGTGGGATGGGGCACGATCCCGCAGTCCACCCTCCCGCCTTAGGCCACAGTCCCCTCCATAGACAGGAAGGCCTGGAAGAGGGCCTGGGCAGCCCTGGGAGCTGGCGAGTGTGTTGGGGGGTGGCACACGCACTGATCTCCAGCTGCCGCTGGATCCGGTCCTTGCAGCGGTCCCGGTACTTGGACTGGGTCGCGTTATATTCGGTCATTACCTCCACGAACTTCCGGGAGAGTGTGGAATGCTGGAGGGGGGATGCAGACATCAGGGAGTCAGGGAACAAGAGACCTGAGCGGTCCAGGAGACAGTGCATGCAGGGAGTCGGGGAGGACGGGCTGAAATAGTTTATGGCCCCTTCTTCCGTGCGGACCGCGACCCCACGGCCCCTAAGTTCACAGCCCTACTACCCCACCCCCGTAACCTTCCTACACCAGAACCAGCCGGCTGCCCAGCTCAGGAGCTAAGATGTGGCCGGGACCCGCCCACCCTGGTAATCCCGCCCAGACCACGCCCCGCCCTTCGTTGGCCACGCCCCGCGCCTGCGATCTCCCCCTAGCCGCCCGGCTCCAGCCCAGGCCCCGCCTAAGCCAATCCTGGTTCCGCCCCCTGGGCCATGGTCCCCTACCTGGGTCTTGCGGATGCGCAGGTCCGCGGAGGAACGGTTCAGCCCCTCCTCCTGTTCGATGCTTTGCTCGATGGCTGCGGGAGAGAACGCAGTGACAGGCGAGAGACCCAGGACTTAGGAGTGGAGTTGAAGGACAGAACCCCCCGGCAGGTCCCTGGCCCGGGGAAGCCCATGGCGAGGGCGAGCAGTAGAGGATCCAGAGTGAAGAAGCAGGAGGCCAGCAAATAACAGGACAGATGTTTGAGAGGTCCCGAAGGCAAGTAGGAGGGGCGATGGAGGTTACCAGACAGAAGAGGGCTACTCGTTGTGGTGGAAGGATTGGGGCTTTCAAAGTCGTAGAAGTGCTGAACCCCAGAAGCAGGTATGAGCTCAGTCACTTCCTATAGTTTCTGGTCAGGGGCAGGGACCCCTTGCAATGTTTCCCCATGGAAGGCAGGAACTTCCAGGTAGGTTAGGTTATAGCGCTCGCCCTTGGAAAATTTAGTATGGACTTACAGGTTTTTGTCTTAGGGTGCATGTGCTTGCTAGAGAGTGAGACAGAGACGTGAGAGGGAAAATGAGAAGTCACCCCCTGGGGGGATGGCCATGCCCCAATCCCTTGTCCTCTATTCTCCCAGGATCTTGGGCACATACACCCAGCGTGACTGTCAAGCCACCATGTCCAGGCCTAGAACCATGATCGGCCATGTAGGAGTTCAGCGATGTAACCACCACGCCATCTGCTGGCCCCAAGGTATGGATGCTCTAATAGACAAAGCAGCCTCCCCTCCCGAGCCTTGTAAAGTGATCCCTGTCCTAGGAATTCTTTTTTTTTTTTATAACTTCATCCATTTATTTATTTATTTATTTTATTTGATCAGAGAGGGATAGAACGTGAGGGAGTGTGTGTGAGAGAGAAAGTGAGAAAGCAAGCCACCAGGTCCAGGACTTGAACTGTAGTCAGTCATGTGGGAGTCCAGCGCCTTTAACCACCATGCCACCTGGTGGCCCCCTGTCCTAGGAATTCTTAAGGATGTTCTGGAAAAGTGCAAAGATTAGCTGAGATTCCTGTACCCCTGATGCTATCATTCAGATTTTGTGAAAAAGAGTTTCTGGTAAGATCTATCTGGGTAAGATCAGAAAATGCAGAAAGGATGAATCACCAGGCCCTCTCAGACCTGGCAGGGCCTCCAGGCCATTCCTGAGAACATCGCTTTGCCCCGCTGGCAGCCGGGGAGGTATGATGCTGGATGGCACCCCAAGCCTCCCCTGCCAGCGACGGCAGACACAGTGACAGAGCCAGCTTTGGCCCAGATGATTTGGGAAAAACACAGGAACACATACCCAGCCATACCAGAATCTGCCAGCCCAGACTGCGGCCTAGTCTGGAAGGCGAGGGGGAGTCTCTTACAGTATTTCATTGACTTTATAACAATCCTGTGTCAGACCAGAGACTGAGATGCAAATGGGTGAAACACCTCACTCAAGGTCAGCCCACAGCCTGAGCTCAGCTTGGAGCTCAGACCACCAGCTGGAAGAGGATAGAGAAGAAAAGAATCTTCTCTCCTTTTCTGGAGGTCTGAAAGGACAGCTACTCTAAACCACTGCCATTTTTCCTAGCTTCTTTCTCGGTCTATTCCTGAACCCCTGAACCACAGAGCCCTCCTCAAGGTCTGATAGAGAGTGTTCAAGATCAGAGCTTGATGGGCCCAGGGAAACCACTGACCCAGGGTTTTTTAACAGTGCCAGCGGGAACCTTGCTTCTGCAAAGCAACCTACGGGGCTGGTGCAGAGTAAAGGCGCGGCCGGGCAGACAGGGCCTCCCAACCCAGTTCAGCCAGAGCAGACCAACTTTCCTCTCTCTCTTTTATAAAAAGATTTATTTGTTTAATTTCATTTGTTATTATTATTTTTAAATTTGACAGACAGAGACAGAGAGAAAGGGATAGCCACCAGGCCTGGGACTCAAACTGCAGTCAGCCATGTGGGAATCCAGCACCTTTAACCACTGCGCCACCTGCCAGCCCCCTTTTTCATGTTTTATATTATTGAAGTTCTTTGTAAGATTTCATTACAAGGGGCCAGCAAGTGGAGTGGTGGTTAGAGTGCTGGACTGACCACAGTTCAAGTCCCGAACCAGGCAGCTTGCTTTCTTACTTTCTCTCTCTGTCTCTGTCTCTCTCTGGTGAGCACATGTGTCCTATGGAAATTTTAAAATAATAAGTAAATAAATCTTAAAAACCTAAAAAGGAGATTTTTGTCATGAAAAACAGATTTTTGTCGCCAAAGGAAAAGCAGAGCCACTTCTGAAATTGTTTCCATTTCTCTTACTGAACTGATGAGAAAGCTGAGGTTAAGAGGCTTGTCCATCATGAGCCGACAGTGGAGGCTGGACTCCCTCTGCTTAGATGTGCACCTAATGCGCTCCCAGTCCGGGGCATCTTCCAGCATTCACTCCCGAATGCAAAGGGTTTGTTTTCACAATTCAGCATCAGAGGCTCACATATGGCTGCCCCTTGAGCCCAGGAGGGCGTGGAGTTCCTGTCCTCATCTCCCTGGACCAAGGTCAGTGCTCTCGGGGCCAGGTGCCTGAGATCACTCCTCCTCCCGAAGCCTAACAAGGTGCCGAGGCCATCTCAGGTGCTTGGCCAGTGCTTGCCGAGGCTGGACTGCCAGAAGCACACCTATTAGCATCACAGCAACACTGTTATTCCCCTGGCACCAGCGGACAAGGAGGTTCCCAACCCATAATGCTTTGGGGGAAGGTGGTTATTACCAGCACCCAAGTTCTTAAATTAGAGTGAATACATGAGCATTTGGCAAGTGCCTTCTGAGAGCCTGCCAGCCCCTGATGTCAGCCACACAGTCCAATCTGTCCTGAGCCGAGGAGACCAATTCAGAAGCATTTGCTGAGCCCACCTACTGGGTGCTCAGCGCTATGCTGGTGCCTGTTCAGGAGAAATGAGGACTTAATGAAACCAAAGTCACTTGGAAGATGGTCTTTTTCTGATGGACCTTCGTGTGCTGGAACTGCCAGAGTTCAGATGCAATTTCAACTCTCATTTTCCTGTTGCATATCTTTTTCTTTCTTAAAAATTTTGTTATAGGACATGTGTGCTCACTGGAGAGAGACAGGGAGGGAGAGAGAGCGAGTGAGTGAGAAACCACCCCCCGCGAGGGGGATGGCCACACTGCAATCCCTCCTCCGTTCTCCTCTCAGGACTTTGGGCATGCACGCAAACACGCCTGGTATGTTTTTCAGGCCACTGGTGTAGGACTCGAACTGCATAGTCAGCCATGTGGCACCCCAGCCACTTTAGCCACTGTGCTGATGGCTGGCCTCTGTCATTTCTAAAGAATCTGGATCAAGGGACCAGCAGTTAGCGTAATGGCTATGTTGCTGGACTCCTGTTAGTCGACCGTGGTTTGAGTCCTGGACCTGGCGGCTTAAACTCACGCCGGGCGCATGTGCATGTGTGCCCAAGATCCCGAGGGGAGAATGGAGGAGAAGGGATTGCGGCATGACCATCCCCCCTGGGGGGTGATTTCTCGCTTTCTGTCTCTCTGTCTCTGTGTGTCTGGCGAGTGCACACGCCCTATAGCAAAAACCTCTCCAAAAAAAGAATCTGGATCAAGAAGGTAATCTGGAGTGTTGTGCTTCCTCGTGACTTAGGGCTCTAGCCCCTGGAAGTTTATGGACATTCCTTAGAGAAAAGCCTCTTTATCCAATAGAAGGCTTTTTTCCTTTCCTCTGTGGTTGAGGTATTGCAGTTCTCACCTTTCTTTCTTTCTTTTCTTGTCCCCTTTAGCTGCCAAAGGACGTATGCTCACCAGAGAGAGAGACAGAGAAACAGAAAGAAAGGGAGAGGGAGAAAGCACCCCTTGCCGGGGTGGTCACACTGCAATCCCTTGTCCATTTCTCCACCCTGTCAGGGTTTGGGGCTTGCACACACACATGCCCAGCATGTTTCTGAAGCTGCTGGGGCCAAGCGTGAACCACAGTCAGCCGTGTGGGATCTGGCTTCCTTCAACATAGGCGACGGGACTGGCCCACACGCCTCACCTTTCAACTTGGACCGAACCTTGTTGGCCGTCTTCTTGATGTCTGCAGTGAGGTCCTCCAGCTCCTGTTTGGTCTCTGAGGAGGAGGTGGGGGAGGGGTGAGACGTCTGGGTGCGGGGGAGGCCCAGATCCCTTCCCCGCCCCCACCACCCAGTGGCAGCACTCACTCTCATCTGGGTTGGGGGCGGCCAGGATGGCGCTATGCTGTTTTTTCACCTGTTCTACATCTTCGGACAGTTTCTCAATGCAACCTCGGATCTCTTCCACCTGGAACAGAAAACTGGCTACACCCAGCGAAGCTGTCAGGCTGGACAAGGGAACCCAGGGGAATCAGCCAGGGCTCAGGGAAATGGGCTAGACCCAGAAGGGTCAATAAAAGGCCAAGGAGTGTGCAGGAGTAGAGAAGGGGGGTTGGGGCCAGGTTCTGGGTCTAGGGGAACTGGAGGCTCATTACCTGTTCGAAGAACTCATCCATGAAGTGGTCCCGGTCCACGTGGACCACCTCCTCCTCATCGTCACTGTCTTTCGCCTGGAAGGCAAAGGGAGGCTGAAGCCATGAGCAGTCCCTACCCCAAGTCCAGTCCCCCAGACTGGGCCTCTGACTCTCTGGCCCTCTCCCTACCAAGCTGCATACATAGATGCCCCTGGCTCAGGGCTCAGAGCAGGGGTCCTAGAAGGCGTGCTCTGCAGGGGCACTGGCTTGAGCTCCAGAAGGCAGAATTAACACCAGGTAGCTTGTGGAACAAGGTCCAGGGTAGCTGACAGCTCAAAGACACTTGGAGGGAATTAGCAAAAAGCACCCTTTCTGCATGGATAAGACCTTATGGGTGCAGAGTCCCCTTGAAGGAGGATGGTGTCCTGAGCAGCTGCTGTTGACCAACCAGGGTAGACATATTTCAATATTTTAACAACCATCTGAATGTCAGTCTTGCAATAATTGGCTCTGGGCTCTGAAAAAGGTTCTGGAAGGGAGTCACAGGAACCTAAACCTCTATGTCATCCCCAGGCCACTCCTGCCCAAGCTTCACTTTTCTCCCCATCTCTTCCCTTCCTGCCCCCGCCCAATCAGCCGCGTGCCCTGCGCAAGGTCACATCAGTGCCGGCGGCAGGCGCCACGTTAAGCAAGCACAGTCAGGCCCAGCAAGGGCCGGAAGAGACACACAGCCAGCACCCTGACCTCTCTGGCTCCCTGCGCCTTCCTCCTCCCGCCCACTCTCTCCCGGCTCAGTCAACTCTTCTCCGTGCACTCGCTTGCTTTCATCCAGCCCCTTCCAACTTCACACCCACCTACTCTCACTTGCTTGGATTTCCCAGTTGCAACCTGCAGCTGCTCAGCCTCCCCCCTGCAGGGCTCAGAGACACAAAGGGATTCACCCGCCCACGCCACCACCGCGGGCCGCCACCAACAGACAGACCAGTGACACAGACAGAAGAGCTGACACACCAGGCACACAGAAATAGGGCCCCTGACACCCACACGGAGGTGCACAGACAGGCTGACGTTCCCCCACACACAGACCAACAGCAGAGCCGCACGCTGACACGTGTGGACACAGATGCTCAACGCACCCCCGGGACACGCGGGAGGGCCCTTGGGGCCTGTTCTCCAGCCTGCATCACTCAGCTGGGTAAGAGGGCATGGGACAGAGCAGGTCTCAGGGCTCTACAATCCTGGCTCCACATGCTTCTCTGCTTGGGACAGAGATCTGAGGGCACAACCTGAGCCCACCGAGTTTAATTACACCTGGAGCCCTGATCAGCCCCAATGGAAATTTAAACAGTTCATCCTGATTTCTAGAACCTAGCCAGAGCGCAGACAGGATCTAACCACCAGAGCTTGAATGAAAGCCAGGCTGCAGGATCCAACTGGAGTGTGGCTGGTTGGGATCTAAAGAGAAGAGCTTGATGGGTCCGAGCAGAATGCAGGAAACGATGGACGCCAGACAGGCTCACACTGAACTGGACGAGGCTCAGACAGATTTCCAGACAGCTCAGATCGAACCCAGACGCAGCCAGATGGGAGCCAGACAGCCAAGAGAACCTGGGATCTGCAGAACCCCAAGTGCACCAGGAAGAGCCCGCACAGCCCAGAGGAGACCTCCAGCTGGACTCCCGTGCCTCGGCCCTGCCCAGATGGAACTCCAGGGCTTCTCCACACAGACGCTGGGCCCCACAGCATGTCAGGTGTGTCCAGAGCCCGCATTTAGTTTCCAGGAGGTCTCAACTATCTGCCTGGAAAAGAAGGCGCCTCCCTCTTAGTCCACAGCTGCCCCCCTGAAAGGGGGAAGAGGGGCACAGGTGGGTCTTGGGGACCCTGATAGGACGCTATCAAGGCTTCTCAAGCTTCCACCTGACTCAGGATGGCTGCAGACAGACCCCGGCTGGGAGAGGTTCTAGAACTCATCTCAAAGGACTTGGTGGCCTCCGGTGATGCGCTCTTTCTCTGTCCTCACTGCCCTGGGAGATCTCTCTTTCTTGGAGGCAAAAGCCTCCTCCTCCCCTTGCTGCCTCAGCCACTTACTGAGCCCTCAGCCCAGCCTCACATAGGTGAGGAGGTGTCGAACAGGCTGGGGGCTGGGATCTGTCCCGTCCACTGTCCACTGCCTCCCTCCCTTTCCCATGCTAACTTAGGAAGCCCTCGAGCCGCATTTTTCTCTCCTGTTGTCTCCAGAGCAGGTTCCCTTCCATCCTTCCCCGGAGCACCCTGGGCTACCCGTTTCTTGCCCTTGAGAGCGGAAGAACTGTAGAAGGCCCAAGTGTGATTTATTTGGTAGAATAATTACACAGAGCACTGGCAGCTAATAATCCTCTATAGTTTACAAACACTTCTACATCCGTAATCCCTTTTGATCCTCACCACCATAGCCCTGTGAGAAAAGCTAAGCAAACAACATTGTCCCCATTTCACAGATGAGGGAACAGGAGGCTGGAGGGGAAAGGACAGCGACTTGCCCAAGGGCACCAGGCTGAACAGGGCCAGAAACCTTGGGCATCCAGGGTACACTTCTCCACACAGCCCCTCTTTCTTTCAAGTTTAATTTTGGTTGTTTTTTTTTTTTTTTTTTTTGAGGTTTTTGCCTCATCCACTCTCCAGAGAGAGAGAAACAGAGACAGTGAGAGGGAACATGAGAAGTCACCCTCCTGGAAGGATGGCTACGCCGCAATACCCGCTCCTCCATTCTCCTCCTGGGATCCTGGGCATGCACACATATATGCCCAGCATGAGTTTCAACCACTGGGTCTGGGACTCGAACTGCAGTCAGCCATGTGGGAGTCCAGCAATGCAACTACTATGTCATCTGCTGACCCCCTTTCTTCCTTTTTTTTTTTTTTTTTTCTTCCTTTTTTTAAAGGCAAGATCTCAGGTGAGCGCCCCGGCCTAGTGGTTAAGGAAGCCGGATCTCAAACAGCCAACCACAGGTTGAAATCCCAGCTCTGGTAGCTTGAAAAACACACCATGTATGTGTGTGTGCGCCAAAAGAAAGATGGAGAAGGGATTGCAGTTTGACCACACCCCATGAGGAGAGGTGCTTTGTCCTCTTTCTCTGTCTCTGTCTCTCTCTGGCAAGAATGCACACCCTCTGTCAAAATTTAAAAAAAAAAAAAAAAACTCCCTATGTCACAATCCTCCTCAGCCTCCCAGGTAATTGGGACTGCAGGTGCATGCCTCTGTGCCTAGCTTTTAGGGTAGGCTGGGAATTGAACTGGGGTCTCCCGGGCAGCCTCAGCCTGTTGAGTAGCAGTGCTGACCAGGGTCAATGATGCCCTGCGTCCCCACCCCCAACCCCTGGTAAAGCCCTAGACTGGGCCTCCTCCCAGTCACTTGGTGGCACCAGCTACTTCTCCTGTCAGTCGGCTCCTGTAAGGCCCACTCTGGGTAGAGCTCTGTATCCTGAAAACCAAAAGAAATATTGCCATTTGATAGTTCCTTTTGCACAAGTCTCACCTTCTCACTATCTCATTCAATCTTCATTAGAACTCTGTAAGGACCAATGACCAAAATAATTATAATTATGGCGAACATTTAGATAGCATTTTACAGCATGCTGGGCACTGTCCATAGGACAGTGGCATGGCTTTATCCATTTACATCTCTTCTTTTTTAAGAATTATTCATTTAATTTTATTTGTAATTACTATGCTTCAGTTTGATCAGAGAGAGATAGGCAGAGAGAAAGAAAGCAAACTGCCAGGTATGGGACTTGAACCACAGTCGGCCATGTGGGAGTCCAGCATCTTCACCACCTTGCCACCTGCCACCCCCTATCTCTTTAAGTCATTTTAAAAATACTATTTTATTTAATCTTATGTATCATTATTATTATTGTTTAATTTGCTACCGAGCATGTGTGCTTACCAGAGAGAGACAGAGTGAAAGAGAGAAGGTGAGAAAGCAAGCCACCAGGTTGAGGACTTGAACCACCTTCGGCCATGTAGGAGTTCAGAGCCTCAACCACCACACCACTTGCTGGCGCCCTATTATTTAAATCTTACAACAGTCCCTTCGGTATATTGTTATAGCCCCCACCCCCTTAGAGACAGGGAAACTGAGGCACAGAGAGTTAAAGATTGTGCTTCCTATCAGCAGCTGGACACCTCAGTCTCTGCCTTTGTTGAATGACAATAATGTCTAGTCCAAATGGCAGTCAGGAGGTGGCAGTGAGACAGGCAGGAAATGCCTGACACCGCTAGAGACAGAGTAAGTGCTTGGTGAGGGTTGGCCACTGTCCCCTGCCCCTCACATGTTACAGATGAGGAAACGGGCTCAGAAAGGTTGCCCGAGGGCCAGGCAGTGGTGTGGTGGTAATGCCGCTGGACCCACGTGGGAAAGGCCCTGGTGTGTGTCCCAGAACCCCCTGAGCACTGAGTACATGTGCCTGTGATCTGGGCAGCGGAAACTCGAGGTATTAAAAATAAATAAATAAGCGAACTCTGTTGGGGGTGTGTGTTTGTCTCTCTGTCATGGAAATAAACTCTTTTTTTTTTTTTAAGAGAGATTTTTGCTATAAGGTGCGTGCGCTCACTGGAGAGACAGAGACAGGAAGCAAGAAATCACCCCCTGGGGAGACGGTCACACCGCAATCCCTTCTCTTCATTCTCCTCTCGGGATCTTGGGCACCCATGCACACACGCCCGGCGTGAGGTTTAAGCGACTGGGCCCAGGACTTGAACCGCGGTGGATGAGGGAGTCCAGCGACATAGCCATTACGCCATCTACTGGTCCTGGAAATAAACTCTTTACAAAAAGAGTGAGGCGGGGGTTACCTGATGTGTCTAAGACTTCTCAGCAATGAGGCCAGAGGTGAGACCTGAAGCCCAGACTAGCTGGTGCTAAACCCCAGGCTCTGTCCACCCACCCTGCCGACAGATGGCAGACCTTCACCGCTGCCTCGCCCCCAAGGCCCACCCTGCTATGTCCTCAGTACTGGCGAACTCCTGTGACCAGGATGGAAAATCAGGGGCCTAAATCTTCAGGAAAAGCCCAGACAGGAAGCCAGGGCTTCCAGCCTCTTTTTCACTTGCTGTGTG